TAACCACTGCACCACCTCGGCTCTTCCAGTAACATGGATATTAAGTGAATCTGATTTCCCATTGACTTTGCTTGTCAGAAGGTTGCAAAAGATGATCACATGATCCTGAGACATTGCAACAGTCATAAATATGAACCAATTGTCAAGCATCCAAACGTAAATCACAAGACCATGGGGATGCGGCAACTGTCATAAGTGTGAAAAATAATCATGTCACTTTTTTCAGTACCATTGTAACTTCAAATAGTCACTAAGTGAACTGTTGTAATTCGAGGACTACCTGTACATGTGTTTATGGTTGTTACTATAATTGGAATAAGAATTATTTCACAAATTAGTTTAGATTTACTGCACATTAATTTTTTCTTCAACTCATGATAATTATTTTGTATTAGCAGCCATATCTCTTTTGGAGTTGCTTGCTTGTCAAATTAATTAATTTTGCAGGGTATTATTTCTATCACCTATAATTAATTATTTTGAGAAATTACTTAAATTAAACATGCTAGGTAATCGGAAGAGCCCCTTTGGTGCAGTGGTTAGAATGCAGTACTGCAGACTACTTCTGCTGACTGCCAGCTGCCTGCAATTTGGCAGTTTGAATCCCACCAGGCTCAAGGTTGACTCAGCCTTCCATCCTTCCGAGGTTGGTAAAATGAGGACCAAGATTGTTAGGGGAAATAGGCTGACTCTGGAAGCTGCTTAGAGAGGACTGTAAAGCACAGAAGTAGTATGTAAGTTTAAGTGTTATTGCTATTGCTTTTGGATCAGAGGATGAATGAGGCAGGGAACCCATGGCAACCTTTTCAACAATAGGTTTAAAAAGTCAATTACAGGTTTCTGAGACCTGAAAATCCTAAACCTTTACCTTTTAAAAAAAACGGCATTCTTACAGAAATACCATCAACTGCGTATCAAGATTCTGGGTGACTGCTACTACTGTATCTGTGGATTGCCAGATTACCGTGAGGACCATGCTGTTTGCTCAATCATGATGGGTCTTGCTATGGTGGAAGCTATTTCGTAAGCACTCACACTTTGCAAATTTTTATGCTGTTTTTGGTTTTTGCAGCCTGTGTTGTCTTTTTTCCCATTCATATTTTTTTTTCTGTTTCCCACATGAAAAACTCTTGTTTTATGATGTTGCCAAGGAATATTTTTTCTGTGAAATATATTGTTTTATAAGAACTTTATTGAATTACAGATGTGATTTGCTTAGTTCATTTGCTTTAGGCATGACTTGTTAAAGTCATGCAGGAGTGAGACAGGTGGCAAATAAATTTAATAAATGCATAAATAAGCCTCACTACAAGATTCTCCATTTGATTACATAGCTCTTTTCCCCTTCTCTGTTGTCCTACTCTAATTAAAGACGGTAATGTTTATTATATCATTATTTCCTGATGTATCCTTGCATATTTTTCACCTAAAGGTTAATTGTGTAGAAATCTCCCCCTAAGTGTGGTTGCTTCTGAACGGTAAATTTTCATCTTAGTTTATCTTTTCCAGCTGGAGAGTCAGAAAAAAAAAATTCCTGGTCTTTTTTTCCACTCATCATGATAACTAAACAATATCTTTCCAGCTAATTTTGTCTCTCTGTAAAACAAAATTCCATGCTTAGAACAGTCTTAGGGATGGAAAATTTTGGCCTTATAAAAATATTTATGCAAAATTACAGGAATAGCAACATTGAATACGTTTTACAGCTCAATTATAGAAAGAAGCTAGAGAAATAAAAGAGAGGCGAAAAGGAGAGCTGGGTTATTAGGCAATCTTTGGAATCTGGCACCAGTTCTGGCATAAGAATAAACAAAACTATGTTTCTTTAGTGCTCTAACCCAGGATTGTTGACAGTGATAGAGCTCATCATGTTTTTTTGGCCATAGTTTTTCCAGCCCTATCTAAATGGCCAAGGTTTCACAGAGGACCCTTGTGCTGTAAGGAAATAGCTCTTTTACTGAGCTATATCCCCCCCCCCAGTGCTATCTAAAAAGCCATACGTATCTCCCATTTAGAATTGATTTTTATTAGTTTGCCTATTCCTGTATTCAAATCTTCTTCAAAACCTGAGTTTGTCTACGATGTCTGAGATTTCGGGCCCTTGTAGTCTACCCACATTTGAAGACTACTATATTGGGTGTGTGTGTGTGTTCCCTTAATGGAACCGAAACAATTATAGCAACCTCATATTGCTTGTTTATTTTCTTTTCCTTCTTACTGCCCTTAGCAGCAATGAAGCCCTGTGCACAATAAAAGCAGCCCTAGCAAAGCCTTCCCAAGCATAGAAACAGGAAACAACCATTCTTTTCAGCTACATATTGCTTATTATTAATTTATTCCTCTAAAGCTATGTACGAGAGAAGACCAAAACCGATGTGGACATGCGTGTGGGAGTGCACAGCGGCGCTGTCCTTGGTGGAGTCCTAGGGCAGAAACGTTGGCAGTATGATGTATGGTCTACGGATGTAACTGTAGCCAACAAGATGGAAGCAGGAGGCATCCCTGGGTAAGTGCTTCCTAAGGACTGTTTTTCCCCAGGACTGTTGTTGTAAATATCTTACAAAGAATCATACGGTTGTAACTTGTGTTTAGAAGACAAGTTACTGCAAACTTAAAAAATCCAAAACCAGGTCTTCTGTTGAAAACATCATCCAGGTTTACGGCAGTATTCATTTTTAACTAGCAGCTAGAGTCACTGTTTTGCAGTAAAAGAAAGGTACCTGTTTTTAGGTTATGCTTCACGATCACTTAGAAATGTAAAAACACGTATTATGCATCGCATTACATTGCATTTGTACGCTATCCATTCTTGGAGGCTCTATGTGGCAAACAACCTGGTAACAACAACACTCTGAAAAATAGATAGAACAAGAAGAAATGGGTGGAAACTAATCAAGGAGAGAAGCAACTTAGAACTAAGGAGAAATTTCCTGACAGTTAGAACAATTAATCAATGGAAGAACTTTTCTCCAGAAATTGTGAATGCTCCAACACTGGAAGTTTTAAAGAAGAGATTGGACAACCATTTGTCTGAAGTTGTGTACAGTTTCTTGCCTAAGCAGGGGGTTGGACTAGAAGACCTCCAAGATCCCTTCCAACTCTGTTATTCTAAAATTCTAAATTCTAAATAGTAAATATAAAGCCCTTACAAAAGCAAAATTGACAAAATCGATAAAAAATAAACAGAATATGTAGAAGGTCATGTTCCCAGCAGATCCCAGCCTTCACACACATGTCTTCCTCTTATCCTAGGAGGAACTCCCTTCTGCAAACTAGGAGAGAAAGAGGAGATGGGATCTCTATGGGGAGAGAATTCCAGTGTGGAGGCAATGATTGAAAAGACCTGCTTCCAGAGAGCTTTCTGATCACAATCTTGTACACGTAACACTTTGAAGGAGTTGACCCTATTCAATCTCACTGGATTTAGGAGATTGTCTATGCCCTTTCAGCAAAGGTTCTTTATTGTTTTTTTCATTAATATTGTAGGGATAAAATACATACATGCATTCATTTATGCTTTTCAAAATGGAGAGAAAGCGAGCTATAAACTAACCTTAATTATATTCACATCAGAGGAGAAGCCAACGGCCAACGTTGTGACGATACGGACATGCGGTCTCGATGCTCTGAGACCGCAGCTGATACTTTTGCCACTGAGTGGTCCAATCGGACCTAAACCGCCCCGCAGAGACAGTGAACAGGAAGAATATGTCTTGCTGATCTCAGGGACATCGCAAAGTCCCTGATCGATGCAAGAGAAGTTCTTCAAAAAAGTTCGACAAAAAATCCAGCCGAGGCTGATGAAGTCGTGGCAGCTCCAAAACGGAAGGATACGGAAAGAGAAAGTGTTTCCAGCTGGTGAGGAATTTTTTATCGTTTTAAAAGAGACTGCCTATAAAACACTTAAAATTAATCTAAATTGGAGAACAGAAGAAATAAGCGGCGGAATTAAGTTTGGAATGGTTTTGGACAGTGGGTTATGTTACTTTTTAAATGTTATGTTCATGGATGGAATTTATGCAAGCCTTTTAAAATGAATGGATTAAGTTTTCTTCTATTTTTTTCTTTTATTTTTCTTTCTAACCTATGGACTAAAATTTTCCTCTTTCATTACTGAGGGTGTTTTTCTAACTCATTCAAGAATTGGACTTTTTAAAACTTGAAATACAAAAAAGATACAAAAAGAAACAAAGAAAATTGCAACAATAACACTGCTACTTGGAGGCTGGAGGCTTGTGTATTGGAAATGAAACACTTTTACTTTTCTTACTGATTATCCTGGCTTGGCACTCCAATGTCTCACTGCTTGTTTATAGAGATTGATAAGAAGAAAAGCATACTTTATTGTGAATCTACGCTTAATCTTGTAAAAACCTTCC